CAGCCTGAAAGGATCCAGGACACTTGGGGAGGAACTAACCTGCCTGAAATCCGGGCGAGAGCTGGAGGGGCAGCTTTCTCCCAGGCAGAAGAGCTGGCAGAGGCCATTGCTCCTTTGGCGAGTCCTCCCCGCACACAGCCAGCAGGCAGGCACCATATTTGAATCGCCAACACCTGACTCACACCTTTGGCCCCACCCTGGTGATTCCCGGAGGCCCCGCCCCTCCCCATCTGCAGCTCATCCAAGCCATTTCCAGGGGCTTTTCTATGTAAGTGGCCTCTCTATCCTCATGCTTAGGACTTTCCTAAGATCTCTCAAACAAACAGCAGCTGGCCTCAGCATGCCCCATATGTCTTGATAAGTGGCCCCAGGCCTGGCACTATTGGCGGCCTGCATTGGTGCATAGCTTGGCCTCTCCAGGACACCACCAAGCCCAGCACAAGAAGCAGCCATCTACAGATTGCTGTGTAGCTCATGCTAGGTGGCCCTGGGCAAGGCACTGGCAGAGGCTGACTTTGCACCTCCCAGGAAGCCCCAGAGACAGTGCACCTGGTGGTCAGACTCAACCACGCTGGATTACAACCCTACCACATCCACGAGTGACACACTCAAGAGGAGCACTTGGTGAACGCCAAAGCTCCACTGAAGTAAATCCTGCTCCATAGGGGTGTCTCCAGCACAGCAGCTCTTTGGCTGTAGTTGCAGCTGCTCCTCACAGCTGACTGGCCTGGGGGTCAGTTCCTCCCAGTGACACCAACAGCAACCAACACTCAATNAGCTCTACCTAATACATAGAAACAAACACCTGGAAGCAGCCAAAATGTGGAGGCAAAGAAACATGTCACAAAGGAAAGAACAGAAGAAATCTCTAGAAAAGGAACTAAATGAAATAGATCCAAGCAAGCTACTAGATACAGAGTTCAGAATAATGGTTATAAGGATGCTCAAGGATCTTGGTAAGACTATTAAGGAAACTAGTGAGATCATCAATGACATAATAAATACCAACCAGAAATAAAGGCTACATGAACTGAAATGAAGAATAATTTATATGGAATCAACAGTACAGTAGAGGACGCTGAGAATCAAGTCAGCAATTTAGAATAAGAGGAAACAAAAAACACCCAACTAGAAGAGCAAAAAGAAAAAAGAATCCAGAAATATGAAGATAGTATAAGGAGTCTCTGGAACAACTTCAAGTGACTCAACATTCGTATTATTGGGATGCCAGAAGGAGAAGAAAGAAAGCAAGAAATTAACCTATTTGAAAAAATGATGACAGAAAACTTCCCCTACCTGGGGAAAGAAATAGACGTACAAGTCCAGGAAGCACAGAGAGTCCCAAACAAGAGGAACCCAAAGAGGCCCACAGCAAGAGACATCATAATGAAAATGCAAAGGTTAAAGGCAAAGAGAGAATCTTACAAGCAGCAAGAGAAAAGCAGTTACCTACAAGGGAGCACCCATAGGACTGTCAGCTGATTTCTCAACAGATACTTTGCAGGCCTGAAGGGAGTGGCAAGAAATATTCAAAGTGATGAAAAACATGGAACTACAACCAAGATTGCTCTACCCAGCAAAGCCATCATTTAGAATTGAAAGTCAGATAAAAAGCTTCACAGGAGCTAATGGAGTTCATCACCACCAGACCAGCACTACAGGAAAAGTTGAAGGGTCTTCTTTAAGAAGAAGCTAATGAACAAAAGAAACTGACAAACTAAATACATCCAGAGACACTGAAGCATGCAACAGACAGTCATATTTCAGATGGAAGAGGGAAGGGGGGTGGAGGGTGGGAAGAGATTAACCAAAGAAGTTATATGCATAACCCATGGACACAGTCAATAATGAGGTGAAGGCCTGGGGAGGGGATGGGAGCGAGGTAGAGGGGGTTAATGGGGGGAAAAATGAGATACCTGTAAAACTTTCAATAATAAAGATAAATTGTAAAATAAAATAAATAAAAAATAAAGTGTATACAGTTTAGTGTTTTTTATATATTCATAAAGTTGTGCAAATATCACCTCAATTTAAATCCAGAACATTTCACCCTGGCTGGATAGCTCAGTTTGTTAGAGTGCCATCCTGATACACCAAAGTTTTGAGTTTGATCCCTGGTCAGGGCACATACAAGAATCAATCAGTGAATACATAAATAAGTGGAACAATAAATTGATGTTTCTCTGCCCCCCCAAACCAATAAATAAAAATTTTAAAAAGTAAATTATAAATCCAGAACATTTCATCACTCCAAAAGAAGCTCCGTACCCATTAGCAGAAGAACTAAAATTTCTAAAATGGCAAATCTAGGCCAGGGAAAGATGGCAAGAAATGCTCACGAAAACCCCACCAGTAAGATAACAGTAAGAAAACTTTATAGACAGACCCCTGGCCAGTATGGCTCAGTTGGTTGGAGTGTCATCCTGTGCACTGTTTCTCTCTCTCCCACTGCCCCTCTCTCTATAATTAAAAAAAAAAAAAAAAGTTTTACAGAGATTAAAAAACGTTAAAGATTGCCTGGCCGGACATGGCTCAGCGGTTGAGCATCAACCTAGGATCCAGGCGATCAGGGTTCAATTCCCGGCCAGGGCACATGCCCAGGTTGCGGGCTACGCAGTCGATCAATGACTCTGTCATCATTGATGTTTCTATCTCTCTCTCTCTCCCCCTCCTTTCCTCTCTTTGAAATCAATAAAGATATCTTTAAAAATAAATAAATAAATAAACAAACAAACAAACATTAAAGATAAAAAGGTCTAGGACTCTCATGGTCTGTAAGCCAGCTCACATTTAGCCTTCCAATTTGAGGATGTTCCAAATCCACACCATATTCTTTAGAAATCCTTCAACACCAACATGCTCATTTCTTTCCTCATATAGGGCAACCATGAGTGGTGTAGAGAGAGTAGGAAAAGTCAGAGGCTGAGAGAAAAGAAAAAAGTTCCTTTCCCAGGACCTACCCCATTAAGAGAAAGTTACCAGACCTGTCTGGTAAGATAAACCGGGTCACTTTCAGAGCTGAGGGGGAGTGGCTTGCCATAGCCCAGAGTGTCTGCCTGGCTTGGAAATACACTTTTAGGAAAGGAGGGGAGAAAACAGGGAACTCAGAAGGCATCACAGTGGTCCTGTCAACTCCCCTGTACTACTTTGATAAGAGCCCTTCAATTTTGATTCTCATGGGTATGGCCAAAGTTGGACACTGGGAAACCTGATAAAGCTGGACGGAGTTCCCCCAGTCATGCCTGGTGAGAAGTGACCACTTGATGTCAGGCCAACATTCTCAGGTGGCCCAGTGAGCATGCAGGTCAACTTTTACAGTAAAGCTGCCCCTCAGAACTGGGCCTGATGATTCTGCTATTCTGCGTTTGGCACAGAAGGACTGGATAAATCCTAGACTACTGATGCTAGAAGGATTGATAATAGCTAACATGTACTGTGAACTACTTTAAGTGCATTTATTTTCTCAAACTTCAAAGCAACTCTTAAGAGGAAGGTACTATTATATTTATTTTTGTTATTCCTCCCCTGATGATATTTTTTCCATTGATTTTTAGAGAGTGGAAGGAAGGGAGGGTGCAAGAGAGAAAGAGAGAGAGAAACATCATGTAAGAGAGACACATGGCTTGGTTGCTTCCCCCTCTCGCCTGACTGGACCCAGGTCGAACCTGCAATCCAAACCACGACCCTTAAGTGAGTGGCCGGAGGCTCTAACCACTGAACCACACCAGCCAGGGCAGGAGGGTACTATTTTTTTTAACCCCCATATTATAAATGAGGACACAGAAATAAGCAAGTGAAGAGCCTTGGCCAAGGCAGTCTGGGAGTCAAACCCAGGCTGCTTGACTCCAGAACCCAAATTCTTCAGTTTTTGTTAGAGATAGTTCAAACCCCTTTTGATACAGAAGGGGAAACTGAGGCCCAGGGAGGTATAAAGGCTTTTCCAAGATCGCACAGCCAGGTCAGGGACACAAACCAAGTCTCCTGGCCACGGGTTCAAGGCTGCCTGGGCTTTGGTGTGTGTTGGGGACGCCTTGGTCGCCTTTTCCCAGCCGCCCCTGTCCGTGGGTTAAGCAGATGACTCAAAGGGAGGGGACTGCTTTTTTCACACCGCCCCATCCCGCTGCACTGTGTTCTGAGGAGGCCTAGCTCTCGCGCCGGGCGGGCAGCAACTTGCCTGACTGAAACCCGCAAGGTGCCTCCCCTGGCGCTCCCGGGTGGTGTGGGCGCCCCAGTCCCGCTAGGGCGTCTCCTAATCCTCAAGGCCCGGGGGGCGTCGGGAAGACGCTTAGCGCGCGTCCGCCGCTCACTCTCCCATTGGCCTGTATGCCGAGCAGCCCCCTCCCGTGATTGGACAATATCGGCCTCGGGCCCGCCTCCAGCCCTGGCTGTTAAGGCGGGACCGAGCGAGGCGGCTGCTGGGCGGGAGAGTTGCTTCTGGGAGCTGAGGCAACTGGGTGAGCTGCTTAGGACCCACCTTCGCTCCCCGAGACTCTTTGCTCGCGGCTTGCGACTCCTCTCCGCCAGCCTGTTTCATTTTGTCCCCATTTGCAAACGCTGGGAGGTGTTCCCTCTCCTCAGAACTGGGCTTTTAATGGTGGCGTCACACCCCTGCCTCAGATCGTGCTCCCAACCTCTCAGATCTGAGCACCTGAAGGGACTGTCCCGGGTTTTCAAGTCGGGGGTGCTCAGCACTGCTCACCACAGCATATCCATGCGGCGCTGTCCTCACCATTATACCTGAGACTTAACTGGTTTCCTGTCCCTTCTTCAGCAGAGAAGCCTCAGAACCGCCTTTGCGCTCTCCTGACCCTCCTCAGACCAGACCCGTTTGTTTGGGGCCTGAGGGAGAGAGCCTGACTCCAGGTGGCCCCAAAATCTTGCCTGCGCGTCACTGAGCCAGCCCCACAGGAGGTCCAGGCCCTAAATCGAGGTCCAAAGTCAGGCTTTCATACACCAATCCCAGTTCCAGCCCGCCACCAATAACTGGAAAAGACAAGGAGGAGTGTCACGGGAACTTTATTGAGAGGAAACATGGTCACACCCAGCAGACATGCTTTCCCTCTCATTCTGAGTCTCTCTCTCTCTCTCTCTCTCTCTCTCTCTCTCTCACACACACACACACACACACACACACTTATTTCCAGCCTCTGCCACACGGTCCAATTCTCAGCCACAGGGTGGGACACTCCTCAGTTCCTAAGATCCAGAGGCAGCAGGGTCAGGAGGGAGTCAAGAGCCAGGAGGAAGCGGCCCCATTCACGGGTAGGGTCTCAAGGAGGGGGTGCAGAGAGCAGGGCTGGGTGGAATGACCAGTGGTTAGGAGTGCCCGACAGCCCCGGAAGGGTGGGATCCAATGGCTCCAGGTGGCCTCAGCTGGGCTGGTCCCTCTCTGTGGAGCCTCTCTGAGCTGGGGCAGAGCATTCAGGAAGAAGGGTCGGGCCTCCCACCCCATACTAGTCCTCTCTGCTGGGGGTGGGGGACTGGAGAGGGCAGGGTAGGGCAGGGAGGGTAGCAGCATGGCTCAGCTCTGGGGCTCCTCAGGTGCCTCGCCCCCCTCTTCCCCGGCGTTGTCGGCCGTCCACAGAGTCAGGTTGTCTCGCAGCAGCTGCATGATGAGGGTGCTGTCTTTGTAGGAGTCCTCACTGAGGGTGTGCAGGTCAGCCATGGCCTCATCGAAGGTGGTCTTGGCCAGTGAGATGGCCTCCTCAGGGCTATTGGCAATCTCGTAGTGGAAAACCGAAAAGTTCAGGGCCAGGCCCAGGCGGATGGGGTTGGTGGGTGGCATCTCCTTCTTGCTGATATCCATGGCCTCCTGGTAGGCTGACCGGGCAGAGTCGATGATGCGCTTCTTGTTATCACCGGTGGCCACCTCAGCCAGATAGCGGTAATAGTCGCCTTTCATTTTCAGGTAGAAGACCCGGCTTTCGGGGTCACCGGTCTCCTTGATGAGGTAGTTGTCCAGCAGACTCAGCACGGTGTTGCACACAGCCTGGAGCTCAGTCTCCACCTTCTCCCGGTATTCTTTCACCTCTGGGCCCTTCTCCTCTGAGCCCTCCTCATTGCTTTTCTGCTCAATACTGGACAGGACCCTCCAGGCAGCCCTCTGGCCACCCACCACATTCTTGTAGGCCACTGACAGCAGGTTTCGGTCTTCACAGGATAGCTCCGCATCCTTTTCCACGGCACTCTTCATGAAGGCTGCCATGTCCTCATAGCGTTCAGCCTGCTCTGCCAACTTGGCCTTCTGGATCAGACTTGCTCTCTCCATGGCTCTGGGGACAGACAGACAGGCTGCGGGCTAAACAGCTGCCTCCAGACCAGGGCGAATTCTGTGCTTCTCCTGATCCCTGCCTGCCTTTTGGCCCAGAGCTGGGTGGGGTGGGAGGGGCTGAGGGCGGGACTGAGGCCCTCGATTTACCTCCTCTCCTCTCCTCCCCACACCCTTTCCGGATCTTCCTTAAAGGTAAAAGGGCTGGGATGTGGGATGAGTCATTAGGACAGTCAGCAGGAGAAATCTGGGTGTTGGCCCCACCTGCACAGGCCCCTTTCCAGGCTCCAGGCTGACCCCTCTTGTTCAGGGCTTCCATTACATAGGTACCCATATTAGGTAGCTGCCCCAGTTTCTCAAATCAGATTCTCCTTCACAGTGTCCTAGGGACTAAGGGTGGCTCAGCCATCTGGTTGCATCAGCCTAGACAGACACCATAAAGCCAGGTGCAGGAGGATGGGGTCCCTAATCCTGCTAGATAGGTTTCCCCTTTGGTTCAGGTGAGATCACTCAAGTTTAGGTAGGGCTCTACATGTCTCTGTGAGGTGGGTAGGACTGTGACTACTACCCCACTTTAGAGATAGGAATACTAAGGCTCAGAGAGGGATGAAATTTGCTCAAGGTCACACAGCTAGTAAGTCCCCTGCATCCTACTTCCTTTGGTTTCTCTCCCATCAAGACCTCTGACTTGTAAGCTCCAGGATGTATTTAGAAATGGGATTCAAGATCCTTGAAATGGTTCCATCCCCCATCCTCACTCTCCCTCAGGGTCCTGTCCCCTCTGTATTCCCAGAATTCACAGGTGGCAGCTTTCAGGGTGCCACTTAATGAGGTGTTTAATGAGCAGCCTTTGACGCTCCAGCCCAGTCGTTGTAATTAGTCACCCAGTAGGTTTGTTGGACACCTTTCCCATCACAGCACAATTTTCCCTTTCAAGTTGGTGGCCTGTTGCCACTTGTTTGAGTACTTACCCTCTGGCTCTCCACACCAGGTCACCTGCCCCCTCCAAGCCACCAGTTGTCCTGTATCAGTGGGGCTCACAAAGGGTGGGGGCCTAGCTTGCTGGCTGTCCCACTTTCTTGCCTGACTCAGCTCACCCTCTGTCAGAGGCTGGGAAGCAGGCCACCTGGGTGCTCAGCCCAGTTTGGTTCCCCAGAGGGGACGCTAGCAACTGGGGAGAGAGACAGGGCTAAGAAAAGGAGGTGGCAGTGACACATACCATTTTTTTTTTATGAGGCAGTAGTCCCAGCTGAGTACTGCCTTCCACAGCCTGCCTCTCAGAAGTTTTCCTGCCCCTTCCCTTTGACCATGGCCCCACCTCTGACCTCTGGCATGGATGGAGAGGTCTCTGTTGCCAACCTTCTGTCCCTGTTAGCTGGGGTGCTGTCCTTGTACTAGCCAAGGGTTTCTTTCATCTAAAGGTGTTGGCATTGAGCCCATGAAGGTGGGTTCCTGCTTATTTGTCCCACCCCTAGCTATAACTCAGCTGGGCTCAGGGGTGGGGCTCCCCTCACTAGGATCTAGCCAGTTTAATCCTGGAGCCAGGACCATTTCACAGGCCTGTCCCTCCCTGAATTCTTGGTGTCTGAACACCCATCCTCCTCTTCTGGAGAGCGGGAAACTTAGGCCAGAACTCTGAGGCCCAAAGATGAGATCTGCCTCTCAGAAGGAAAAACAGGGACATATCTGGGCTAATGCTACAGGTTTTTCAAAGAAGCAGAAGGGATTTTAGGCTCGATATCCAAAAGGCTTTGCTCAAATCAGACAGAAAATGATGGAAAGGAAATATACTAAAATACAACTTACAGAGGGATATCTTTAGGTAGTAAGGCTGTGAGTGATTTTTTTCCTCTTTCCTCTTCTCAAGTTATCTATTGTGAATGTGTATTATTTTTCTACGCATAGCCAGGTACAGAATAGCCAATATCTTTGGAATCAGACCAGCCAGTTTCGATTTACAAGCTGTTGTGGCCTTTGCTGAGTGATTTTACCTCTGTGAGCCTCCATGTTACTAAGTGTAAAATGGGGTTGTGAGGATTAAATGAGTTGATGGAAAGCACTTAGTTGGGTGGGTAACTATTATTATGTGAAAATAAAATCCAACCAACTTTATTATTATACACTCACAGCATGAACATGGAGCTGGGGCCTATGAAATAAGGAAGCGCCCCACCCAAGGCCTCAGCCAAAGACCAGAGCCTGTCCAGCTAGGTGTCCACATGGGAAAGAAGATGAATGAATGGTCAGATGTGCTCACTCTACACTGTCTCCTCCTTCTCCATCTTAGACATTCCTCATGCTTATGTAGGCCCTGGGCCCTCAAGGACCTTCCTTTGACTAGTCACCCAGGCCAGGCTTTCCAAGTCATGGGGGAAAGCTGAGATCCCAGAATAGCATAAACCTAGGAGGCAGGGCCTGGCAATTTTGGAGCTATTTCTAGGGAGGGAGCGTTCTCTTTTCTATCACTCAAGCCTGGAGACCTGGTGGTGGCTCACCCCTGCAAACTCCGTGCCCTCAGCACAGTCCTGGGCAAGAGAAAGGAAGCCCCCTTCTCTCCTCCCCTTCCCCTGCTAAATCTGGGAGTCAGGCTGCCTGGCATCTCCTGCCCGCTCTGGCCTGTCAGTCCTGAGAGATCCTGACTCAGTTCCTGTCTCAGGCACCTCCCTTTGCCTCCAGGCCTCCATTTCCCAAGTCCAGAAGCCCAGGCAGGCAGGAGGCAGCAGGCCCCAGCAGGGCACAGAGTTCCACAGTCAGCCACCTGAGTCAGCAGGACGAGAGCTGGGGCTGCAGCCCAAAGGGCTTTCCTCATCCTACCTACCTCCCACCCTTCTGTATAGCATCCATCCTACCAGCAGGCTTAAGGCCTCTGGTCCCATAGACAACCAACCCTTCTTAGCTGGTAAACAGACTTTGAAGGGTTGTGGGAAGAGAAGGAAGGCAGCAACTAGTTGTTGACTATCTCCACTGAGAACAGAGGAAAGGGCTCTGATTGCAGCAGGAGGGACCCTGGTTAAGATTCCAGGAAGAACTTCCTAGGAAATTTTTCTGGTTTTGGAATGATCAAACTAAACAGGTGATCATCTTCTCCCCCTGATTATAACTTAGAGTTTAGTTATCCAGTCAAGAGCTCACTCTACTAGTTGCCTTTGGCAGGGGGATTACTTTTAAGTGAGTCAGCTATCCTGAGACTTTTCTTCCTCAAGACACTGCTATTTAGAGTATCTCACATTTCCTTTTTTTTTTTTTTAATGTTTTATTGATTTTAGAGAGGGTGGAAGAGGGAGAGAGAGAGAAACATTGATGTGAGAAACATCGATCAGCTGCAGGGGACCTATCCCACAACTGGGGCATGTGCCCCAACTGGGAATCAGACCAGCAACTTTCTGGCACACAGGACGATGCTCAACCAACTGAACCACACCAGCTAGGACTAGAGTATCTTACATTTCCTAGACTAGTCCAGTTCAGGACATGGTGTGGAATTTTTGGAAAGAAAATGAGTTCAGGGTGTGGGACTGCATTCCAAATCTGTTATAAGGCCTTGGGCAGGTTCCTCCCTCTGGGCCTGTTTTCCTATGGTATAAGGAGGTCCCACAGGTAATCTTTAAGCCCCCTGCTGGCTATGAATGACATTCTCTAATTTTAGGGTTTTTCCCTCTGAGATGCCCTCCTCCTAAAGCAGCAGTATTCATTCTTTGGGTAGTGCAGAAGGGTCAGAGGTCAGGGCAGAGATCAGGTTCAAATTTTGAATTTGCTAATTTATCAGTTGGGAGATCCTGGGCAACTCCTACTCCTTCTTTGAGCCTCAGTTCCCTCATCTGTAAAAAGCCTAACAGCACCTTCCTCATAGGTTTAGGTGAGAAAACAGGCCTGGCACTTAGCAAGTCCTTCCTAAATGGACACTCTTGTTATTTATTTTTAGCTCTTAACAGACTGTGTGTATATCTTGATGTGGGGAGGCAGCTGGGAGAGGGAAGGCTCCATGAAAGTGTTATCCTGGGCTAGGCTCAGTTAAGGGGTGTGACAGCCCAGACTGGAGTCAAACCCTCTGTCCCAGCCTAGGCTTTCAGAGTTCAGAGGTTGGCTAAGGCTTGAAGATCTCTGGAACTGAAACCAGAAGCTCTGGAGGGGCAGAGTGAAGAGGACTCTGGTCACTCTTCCTGTGTCACTTCTGGCTTTGCTATGCCTTTTTCTTTAAGTTATTTATTTGATTGATTGCTTTTAGAGAGAGCAAGAACCATCAATTTGTTGTTCTACCCATCCATACATTCATTGGTTGACTCTTGTATGTGTCCCGACCAGGTATGGAACCCATAACCTTAGTGTGTTGGGACAATGTTCTAACCAACTGAGCCACCCAGTCAGGGCCACCGTCCCTTTTAAAAATCTCCAAACAGCACTGACCATCTGGAACAAAGTTGGCAGCTGTAAGCCAGCAGTTCTCCTGGGCACTCATCGCAGGCCCCATCCCCAGACCCCAAAGTAAGGGTGGCACCAGACAGCCAAAAGTATGGCAAGAAGAGGGAAATCTTTATTTTGGTTTAAAAAAGGTACAGGACAGCAGACAAGCAGCCCCCAGCCATGGGCTCAGTGGATTTCTGAGGCCCAGCCCAGTTTCCTTTAGTCCCTCTGAATGAAGAACAAGGGGCTGTCAGAGCTAACTCAGTTCCTCAGTACCAGCAGCAAAGGGTACAAGCAACCTTCCTACTCAAGTGCTGGGGGTGGAAGGGGCCGTGGGAACAGTGTCAAACCAGTTGTGCTTAAAACTGTTACCAAACTTGTTCAGCAGCGTCATCAACCATCAACACCCCAGACAGCTCCTGAAGAAACCTGCTCAGCTTGACTATGGCTATGCTTGATTCTGGGGGGCAGGCTGTAAGGCAAGATTCCTAAAGAGTCTTGACACCTTACAAATCTGGGGAAGGGGAAGTAAGGTGGAAGAGGGGAGGGCGAGTTTCAGCATAGTATTACATCATTGTGCTGACAGCTGCATTATGGCTTTTCTACACTCTGGCCAGCATGGAGTGGGGATGGGGGCAAAGAGGCCAGCCCCCTGCCCCCATGGGGGGGACCCTAGAGAGCACACATGTGGGGCAGGCTTGGGGTAGACCCTGTAGGCACAGATGGTGGCAGGTGGGCCACAGGTTAGGCAGGTGGAGGTGCCGAGTGCTTGGCTCCCCCCAGGCCACTCCTGGAGAGGAGGTGAGCAGCAGTCCTCAGGAGGTCCTTAAGCCCCCGCACACACTGGAGATCCCGGGAAGGACAGCAAAGGAGGAGAAGAGAGAGGGTTAGTGGGATTGGGAGAAAAGAGGAGTCCTATAGGGGTACCACAGCACCTGCCTCTTCCCCACAGAAGGGCCAAGGCTTTGGCAGCAGGCAACGAAACAGGAGAGAAAACGGGCAGGTGAGAGAAAGCTCAGCAGGGACAGAAAGCCAGGACACAGTGTTAGCGATCAAAGACCCCTGTACATCAGGACACCACCAGAACAGGCCCAAGCACCTCAGGGCAGGTACGCCATCCTTTCCCCATCCTCGCCCTTCACCTCCTGCGCCAGTCAGAGAGCTGCTGTGTGCAAAGCTACTTCCTCATCCGGAGGGGGCTGGGCTCTTTACCCTGACCCCATGCCCCCATACGTTGCTCAGGGGGGAGCCCTGGGGACCCTACCACCACCAGCACACACACCACACCACACTCCAGACAGATGAATGGGCTCCATGGTGTTGGCGAGGCATGCGATGAGGATGAGATGGTGTGTGAGGGGTGCGGGCAGTGCTGGCTGACAGGGGAAATATGGTCTTACCAGCTAACCCTCTGCAAAGAGGCCTGTTATCCCCTCAGGCTGTGCAGGAGATGGCAAAATCCTGACAGGTGTCCTCCTGGAGGAGATACCAGAGAGGTGGGCCAGTGTTACAAGGTGTCTGGCTGGGCTCTGCTGCCCAGACCGGGGTGGGGGCCAGGAAGGCTCAGGCTCTCAAACTGGAATCTACTGTCCCGTAAACATTTTCTTAGCTGAGCAGTTGCTGGGGGATCAGAGTAGAAAGAGAGCAAGGAAGATGAACTTGGGGATCTCCAAGCCCCTGAGGCAGGGGAAGGTAGAGGGGACAGGATGGCCTCTTCTTACATGCCTATGGGGTCTAGCTGCAGTCCTCTCTGTTCTGCCTCTAGCAGAGAGACTCCAGCCAGGAGAGAAGAACTTTAGCCAGGTCGATGAGCTGCCTGCCTTCTCTATGTCTCCCCAGGAAAGACCAAGTTTGACTGAAAGAATAGACGGCTGCCATTTGGGGCCTCAGCAAAGGATGAGCAAACAAAAACCAAACCAAAGCAAATCAACTCTTAAAAACAAAAGTTTTATTACAAGCAGGAACAAAGAATACTGGCTTAAATAAAAGGCAGATGGGAGTAAACCTCCTCTAGCCAGCTTCCTCCCTACCTCTGAGTGCCACTGCAGCATGGCACTAAGGCTGGGCAAAGGCATTTCTCCCAGAGGAGACCCTCTGTAGACTTCTCAGCTACTTCTCCACTAGCCTCTGGAGCAAGGAAGGGCAAGATGAGGGGACTTCCTATGTCACTTTCCAAGGACTTCAGCCCACTTGAAGGGCCAAGGAGGGGGATAGAAGGACAATTTCCTATCTATTTTGACAAGAAACTATAGCTCCCAGCAGAAGAGGGACATCTTCTGAGTTTCTGGCCTAGATTTAGGACAATCTTCACTCCCCTTGGCCCACCCTGCTTCTTCCTTCCTTTTCTCTGGATGGAGGCTTCCAGTTGGCAGAGACTCCCTGTCCTCTAGCCCTTGGCACTGGGTCCCATACTTGGGGTTTGGAGGAGGGGGTGTGGCTTGTAGGATGGCAGCTGCTCCCCACAGCCATTACCCATGCACCACACCCAGCCTCAGCCTGTCTAGGCAGATCCCAGCTGGAAGCCTGACCTGGGGGCTGGGTGGCAGGGGTGGGGTTGGGGGTGGCTGAGTCCCCAGCCACTGGCTATCTGAAGTCCCTGGAGGAGGGAAAGGTAGGAGGATGGGGCTGAGCCACAGGAGGAGTCCAGGGGTCTCTTGTAACCAATGCACATGTTCCCTGTCCCCATGGCTCAGGCTGCTCCTGCTGTTGCTGGCTGACACTGGAGAGGGACGGTGGGGAGGAGGGCAGCCCAGGGGATGTGGGGAAGTGGGAGCCAGCCACATTTGTACAAGGGCAAGCGTATACACGCACACATGCATGCACACACACACGCACACACGCACACACACACACAAGCACACTCTCAGCCAGAGGTCTCTTATAATAAACTTATTGAAACCAACTTGCCTTCTGATAACCCTTAACCTGGCACTACACAGACAGCAAAGTGGCTGACATTTAAACATTCTTCTTCCATTTAAAAAATGCTACGTAGAAAAGAGGTCTATAAAATTGTGCAAAATACCCGTTTCAAGTATTGCCAGCATGAGTGTAACCTACCCATCCCAGACCTGACCTGGGAGAGAGATGGGGGGCCAGGCTGAGATCCCATAGAGAACCCTCCATGGGCAGAGAAAGGGCAAGGCCCCCACTTCCTAGTGTGTTGCCCAGGAATCATGCAGAAGCTGAGGTCTTGGCTGCCTGGCTGGCTGGTTTGGCTTCTTCTTACACAGGCTGCCCCACCGCCCCCCAACTCTGCCCTCTCTATCTAGAACCCAGCTCTATCCTATTGGCCAACTCCATACAAAAAAACAACAAAAATCCCAAAGGAAAAAAAATGATCATCACAAAAAGAATAAAGGAGCTTGCAAACCAAAACAGCCCATGGAAGTGTCCTCTCCCATAGCTCACTGTCCAGGGCCAACTGCTCATGGGTCCTGCTTCATCCCAGGACCCCAGCTCAGCAGGGCTCAGCAGCTTCCCAAACTGGGAGGCATTACACTCAGTCCGCACCCTCACACACACAGGGCTCGCCCTGGCACAGAGACTTGGCATGGTCCTCTGGGTGCCTGGCCCTGGCCTCTCTATCCTGTCACTCTGCCACTGATCAGCTGGGGGGACCTCAGGCCTAAGGCTGTGGGAACCTGGGTTCGGGGAGCAAAGGGTACAGCCATGGAACAGAGTGGGAACAGCCACGCAGGGTGGGAAATAAATACGAAAAGACTTGAGTCTTTGGCAGCTCTGCTTCCCTTGGGTGGAATGGGGAGGGTCCTGGCAGGTAAGTGCGGAAGGGCGAACAGGCCAGCAGGTGGCAAGTACTGAGGCGCGTTCAGGGGTGGCCTCCTACCATGTTGGCATCGGCCTTGGCTCCGCAGGCTGGCTCGTCACTTCTGATGGGTGAGGGCAACACGGTGTCAGACTGCACAAATCCCCTCCGGTCAATCAGGCTTCCAAAACACAAGGCAGACACGTGAGGACCCTGCCTGACACCAGGACTCGAAACTCCTCCCTTCCAGAAGGGCCCTTTCTCTGCTCTCTGGACACTTGGCTTTTGGCCACAGTATTTATTCACTGTTAATTCAAATTGGCTCACCTTTCTGTGTGGCTGCCAAGAAGCCAGTCTGCGGGCGAGGGGAAAAGTAAGGATAAAAGGCATTTGGAGATAGTGCTATACCTACTGTCCCTTATCTGGGCAGGACTGGTGGGAGGAGGGGGACAGTGTGGGAAGTTGTTCCTACAGCGTTCACTGCAATTTAGCTCTGATCTGGCGCTCTGGTGCCCTCTGCTGTCAGGATGGATGAGGTGCTTCCTAGCAAGGCTGAACCACCAGGGCTTTCTTCTGCCAGGAGGGAGAATGGATAACCCCACCCAGTCTGGCCAGCAGCACCAGAAGGGCAATGTTGCTCAAGTGTGGCCAAAACATTAACTGTGGTTATCCTTGGGGAGTAATATTGCATGTGAGATCTAATATTCTTCTTTTTTACATTTTATACTTAATTTTTTTCTACAATGAGCATGTGATTAAAAATTACCAACTCTCCATAGAACTCCTTTAAGCGACAAATGCCCTGAGTGCATTCAGCAGGGGATGATGGACAGAAGACTGTAATGTGGGGAGAGTTCTGCTGATTCCAGAACCTCTTTGAGAGGTGTGGACTCACAGGGTCACCTCCGTCTCACCTGGGAGGTAGGGGGCCGCAGAGTACAGCACAGCAGTTGGTGATAACACTTTTATGGCTGTAGGGATTGACGGATGCCTCACCGCCCCTCTTGCTGGACCACGAGCCTTTGATCTGCAAGCAGGAAGGAGGTCTGGGTCAGGTACCTCTCTCTGCTTTGCTTTTCTAGGAGGGAGGTCTAGAGGCAGGGGAAAACTGGCAAATTCTGAAACCAGTTCCAGTTAGACTATTGGAGAGGACACGTCTTAAACTCAGGTCATTCAGAGAGAATGTGGGAAATTCTGGATGTTCGGGGGCACCCAGTAGAGAGGAGGGGGGCCCAAACAGGACGGAAGACAGAGTAGAGTCCAAGAGAAGCTTCCAAAGATACTTTTTGGGTGCATCCTCCCTTCTCTGGCCACCACCTAAGGTGGAGGGCAGGACAAGGGCACAGGGCTCAGGCTGCCTGACTATGAACCCTGGCTCTGTCACTGACTCATTGCATGACCCTGGACAAATTGCCACTTCTCTGAATCCTCATTTGAAAAACAGGAAACTCTCTGATACCAACTGTCTGACAGCACTGTTGGCACATCAGACGAAATCTTGCCTGTCTCTAGCTCTGTGAAGCTGGCTATCAAAGGCACTGAGGAGTTCAGCAGTAAAGGATACCTGCTTAACTTTTATCCAGAGATTTCCAAATTTATTTGACTATATCAGTCCTTTTTGCTTAATCCCCTAGTAATATCCTACAGAACCAGCACCCAGGAAACCACCCTGGGAGATGCTGGCTGATGTGATTTCTGCTCTGTACCAATCACCCAGCACATGATACCCTACCATGCGTGTTAAATTTTGTTTCCCCAAATGATAAGCTGAGGTCAAGGAATGTATTTTCTGTTAGTCGATGGGCCCCTTAGTATCAGATGGCAGCCCTGGAATGGACGCTCTCATTTGCTTTTTTATGGTTTGGGAGAATGGGGAGGGGAGGTCAGGTCCCTGGCCCAGGGCTGGGCACACAGTGAATGCTCAAACAATGCTTGTTGGTTGGGTATGTAAGGTAGCGGGCAGGGAGGGTTAATGGAAACCTCATAGTCCTGTCCTGGCTGTGCCACTCAATAAGAAAGTCTCAAAGACACCTGAGAACAGTCACATCTCTGCTGTGTACAAATGCAGCAGGGAACAGTGACCATCATGGCTTCTGGGTGAAACCCTAACTCTATCCCTCCCTTCCCACCTGTGTGACCTTGGGGCAAGTCACTCAGCCATCAAATGAAGAAAAAGCATTCCTGTTCCTTCTGCCTCAGAGTTAGCAAAAGGACCCAAAGGGGTGATGGGAACTGAAAGAACTCTGGAAACAATAATATGTTGACTAAATGTAATGATTGTATGGCACGAGTGCTACTTTTGTGGGGTTAGGGAGAAAGCATCTTGGGGGCCCTGGGAGCCTGCACCAAGTGCCAAGGCATGCAGGGGCCTCAGAAGCCTGTACTGGGTCTCCCAGGGCCAAGTCATGAGCGCTGCAAGGAGCTGTCTGGCTGCCTGTCATCTCCACCCATGTTTTCCCAGCAGTCTGAGAGTCAGGGCTGCACTGCTGCCACTCCACCTCCCTCAGCCCGGCCTCTTGCCGAGGGCCCTGCCCAGGAACCAGGGGTTGCTCCAGCCTTACTCACATCTTCGTTAGTTGTCAGATTGGAGGCGACGAGGTAAGTGTGAAACCCTGAGAGGCCCAGGATGGACCAGATGGAGAAGAAGCAGATCACCAACTCCAGCACAGTGAGCAGGGCAGTCAAGGACCCACAACCGGGATCATGGCTGGGAGCCTCCCCTGTGCCTGGGATCTTGCCACGCCCAGCATTTCTCACCTATCCCTCCCCATAAAGGAAATAAATGTGCAACTTCCCTATGACCCAGTCACCACTTCTCAGCAGGATCACCTCCTGGGCCCCAAGAAGGGTTCAGGAGCTCCCCTCAAGAGCAGGATGAGCTCAGGGTGAGAGATGGTAGAGGAAACTGAGGGTTCCAAGCACCAAGAGCAATGGACATGATGTGGCCCAGGAAGCTTGGTGTCTTAAGGGAAGACAGGGACTCTGGCTCCTGAGAGTTCTTGGCCACCCCACCCCCACAACAGCCCATTTAGGATCAGCTCAAGCCTGGGTGTGAACAGAAGCAGCTGGTATACTGGATTCTAGAGGACAAACACCTGCTCTACACCATTGCCTTCTGTTTATACGATGAGGTGTGGGGACCCACCCCAGTGAAGGGGACTCAGTTCCCACCAGGGCGTCCACTAGCAGACAAAGGCAAAGGATATCTCGCTGGTGTCTCCTTCAGAGTGGAGAGGAAGTTGCTTCCCTGAGAGCCTGGGGAAGAAAAAACAGGAGAGGACACAGCTCAGAGGGACGGTGAGCACAGCTCCTCAGCCTGGCTGAGCTTGCTGGCCCGCCCGCTATTTGCCCCCACTGCCACCGCCAACTCACGGAGTGTCAGGTGGGTGACCACGCAGGCGAAGATGAAGGCCGTCAGGAATGAGAGGGAGAGAATAAACGCATAGAAGAAGCGGTAGTTTCGTCTCCCCACACAGTTGCCTACCCAGGGACAGTGATGGTCAAACCGTTCTGGAAAAGGGCCAGGGGAGACAGGTTAGTGCAGGCCTGGCCTGCAACCAGCACAGATGTTCAGAGGCCTCCCATCAAGGATGGAGCTTTCCA